GGGTTTAGGGTTTAGGGATTGGGGGTTTAGGGTTTGGGGTTTAGGGTTTGGGAGTTTAGGGTTTGGGGTTTAGGGTTTGGGGTTTAGGGTTTCGGGTTTAGGCTTTTCAGCTCTGTAAATCTCACCTGCTCAGCATTCTCGGTGGCTAGAGCCCCAAAGGAACTGTCTGGATGCGTGGCGCATGCTCACGTAGAACTTACCGGTAGTGAGTAAGCAAAAAGGATCCCTCTTCAGAGCACCATTTCATCCCCTACAGTGGCCTCCATGTCGTATTCACTCCTTCCCTGCCCACCAGCTGCTAGCATATCCTAAACTCTCTGTAATGTAGTATACTCTCGTCTTTATCCTCCCACAAACCACACCCTAACCCTACACCCTAAACCCTAGACTCGACCCTAAATGAATACTTGAAGAAGAAAAGTTGGTCCTAAACCCTGAACCCTAAACCCTAAGGCCGGCACTGACGACTGTTTCCACCATTTCGGGGCTGATCTCTGTGAAGCGCCGCCTTCCGCCGTTGATGCCGGCGTTGTTGATCCTCAGACAGAAATGTGGGGCTTTCGTAAAATTAGGAGTACCATTTTCTGGGGCCCATAATAAGACTTATAGTATACTGGGGTATCTAAGGGGGACCCCAATTTTGGCAAATCGTCATGTGGCACGCGAACAGCCGCGCAAATGCGGAGAGCGTCTTCGTATGCAGTGACAGCAGTCGTAGTGTAGGTTGGGTTCTGCCCGCGCCCAGGAACAGTCTATAATAGGGTTCACGTTAAGAGCTCTATATAGTTATACTAATAGTATACATATAATATCCAACGGGTAATGAGTGGCGTCAGTACCCAAGGACTTGTAGTGTAGGTTGTTGGCACAAGCTTTCAAGGAATGTGAAGGTGGAGAGATAAGCAAAATATGAAGCATCGTGCCAAACATATTGCAGTTTGAGAGCTAAGCCTCATTACAGCAAGGAAAGCTAGCATGGCAGCAACTGAAATTTGAAGTTCTAACCATTTTGTTTAGCCACCAGCACTCAGCACCCTTCAACCCTTCAATCACACAGCAGGCGAGTCTGAGCTCCCTTCTTTTGGTGGTAAGACGCATACACAAGCAAAGAATTTGATTTGAACAAGAAGCTAAGTATGCGGGTGAAACAGGCCTTTGAAATCTTAGCGCTAATTTCAATTTCAGCCTGCGACCAGTTGTACAGGTTAAGGGGCTAGAAACAGTCAGAAGTTGGGGAGATTTGGGCCCTTCTTACGTCGGGATCTTAGTGCGTCATAGGCGACATTCCCTAAACCCTAAACCCTTTCTCAAAGAAAAGCGGCCAGTAGTGCACCACACCGATGCTCTTCTTCACGAACCTGGGTTACTGAAGAGCGACGCTGGCATATTGCGGAACGCCAGGGCTATACATTTCCCTCGGGCTCCAATATACAAATATTACTTGCGTAGGGTCCTAAAGTCTGTATACTTACATTAGGCTATTTGGATCTCTGGGGTTTCAACAACTAGAAGACTACAAGACATGACCTGGTCAGTACCTGAGGTTTCCCATACCTATCTGTTGCGACTTTGGTGATTAGGTTGCGGGTCTTAATAGTTGGACCTTAGCTTAAGAAGATGTGATTGTTCTTACAGCAACTTAACCGCACAACTGAAAAAGGCGTCAACAAAGATCCAGAAACTCGATCAATTCGTTGATGCTATCGATGCTGGACACGTCGCAGGTGGTGGCATAGATGTCTGGGTTCAGTGCCACGCATTTGGGGGTTTGGGGTGGTTTAGGGTTTGAAGCTTTGGGGCGTTGTGCTTTGGAGGCATGGGTTTTCGTTTTCGGGTTTCGAGGTAGCAGTAGTGATCAAAACCACGGCCCCTATCTTGTCCTGGCACTAGATTGTTGGGACTCGGTATTTGGCTCACAACCGCCTTGTGTGGCATGCTCCTGATCAGACAGGCGAGATGTAACTCCTAGACCCTGAACCGAAACTCCTTCTGGGTATTTCTTTCTCAGCTGCGCAGATGCCCTGGGTCGTGGAAGGCATCGTCATCATTCAGCACGTTATATTGGGATAATGGAAAAGAAAATGGAAACTACTGTAATATATTGGTGTTATATTGGGATAATGGAAAAGAAAATGGAAACTAGTATATATTGGGTTATATAGGGTTTAGGGTTTCCATAAATGGAAGGCCTCAATATTGACCCTAATACATATTCTAGGAACTCCCAAAAAAGGGGCCCCTACTGTTTTGGAAATCCTCAGATACAACCAGCGCTAGCATCATCATCTTCTTCCCATTGCTCCTCCTACGCTGGTGCGGTGATGATGACCAAAATGTTGACCATGCCTTGCGTTACCTTTGGGTAGCTAGGCATCAAGGAACGAATCCTCATAGTAGCCCCTAGATAACCCAGTGTAGTAGTTTCCATGTTCATTTCCATTCCTTCTATACCCTCCGCCCCAAACGCATTATAGTATTATCGTAGTTTCCGTTTTTCCCATTCCTTCTAAACCCTAAACACATTCTAGTATTATAGCAGTTTCCATTCTCTTGTCCATTCATTCTAAACCCTATAGCCTAAACTCTAAACCCTATATGGTAGTT